AGGCTCATGATCTTATTTCATCTGTCATGTCTGATGGGAATCCTGCCGAATGACGTGTTGTTCAGCGTCTCATGCCACGCTGGTTTCAGTGACAGCACAGTGGTGGCATGGTACCAGCCATGTTGTAAAATATTGACATGGTGGAGATAGCCATTGCACTATGGAGAGCCATTTGCACTATGGAGAGCTCTCTGCTGATCCAACTGTTACTGTCTTTCCAATGATGACAACATTAAAATAAATACCTGATAAGTTGTCTCAAAAACCTAAAATACATCCTCAGCTCTTGAATCTGGTGATTTTTTTGTTCCCCTGAAGAAAAACAAAACTAACTCTTCACACAAATCCTTTGCTTTAAGCTCAGTTTAATTTTAAATGTTAATTTGTTCAACGGTTTTTCAGCACTTCCTCTGACATTTCCTGGAAATTGTGGAGGTTGTGCAAGAAACCAAAAGTAGCATTTTGATTGATAGGCAATTAAAATTCCATTCATATGAAAACGGTCTTCTTGTGTGTCACACATAATAATGTTGACATCGGAGTTCTGAACCCACGTCTGTTTACTTTGCAGTGTCGCGCTGGTTTTCCAAACCAGAGCTGCTGAACTCTGAACAATTCTAGACTATCCTTGATATTGGTAGGGTTCAGAACACGTGTCCCCAGTTATGATACCTTGATCTACTGAAGATTTTAAACAGAAGGAATTCACAAATGGCGGGTGCAGAAGGCTCTCAGGATCTTCTGCAAAGCAGACATGAATACCCTCAGGTTAGAGAGGTTCTCCCTCTAGTCAGGAGAGAAGGGGCCTCTGTGAAGATGGGGACAGGCACAGAGCATCTCGGAGAAACCAGCCTTGCTGAGCAGCTCCCTGTGTACCACCTTGGACCCCTTTTTGTCCAAGTACATGTTCCCATGATTCTCTCTCCTTCACCCAGCTTAGTGTACAAACTAGATTCCTTAGGAAGGCTCCCACATCACATGCAGCTTGTGTTGGCTAAACCGGCTTGCTCTTCTCTTGTGAATCTGTCTTTTGAGACAGACACCCAGAAAGGGTTGTATGAAAAAGATCCTTCCTCCCCTTCCTGCCAATGAGTTTTGTTGCAGCATGCTTTTACCTGAACACGGCGGTAAGATGTTTACAATGCTTATTGCCTGAGTTCTGCGAAGTACAAGGTCACACATCATTTTTTTAAAACGATTTATTTCTTTTTATTGGAAAAGCATGGTTATGAACAGAGAAGGAGAGACAAAGCAAGACAGTGCACCTGCTTGTTTATTCTTCAAGTGACCATGATGGCCAGAGCTGAGCTGATCCAAAGCCCAGGAGCCAAAAGCTTGTTTCCAGATCTCCTACGTTAGGTGCAGGGGCCTAAGGACTTGGGACAGCTTCCACTGCTTTCCCAGGCCATTACCATTGGAGCTGGATTGGCAGTGGAGCAGTTGGTACTCCATCTGGTACCCCAGATGTGGGATGCCAGCACTCAGGTGGAGGCTTAGGTCACTATGCCAGCATGTTGATCCCAAGATCATTTTCGACACTCCCAAATGTTAGTCCTGAGCAAAAGTCCCAGAGGGGTGCTCCAGAGGTGGAAAGGGAAGCCAGGTTCCTTCCATGAAGAGCACCTTGTCACTGATGGAGCTGCAGCTGTTCTTGGCTGTGCATACCATTCTTGGCTAGGAAGCAGCCTGAATCAAATGTTGGGCCGGCTTGATGTACCGTCTACCCACCAGATGGACAGTAGGGTCGTAAGAATTTTCCAGCTCTTCCTTCTACTTTTCTATATTTTCTTCAAAGACAGATAACATAAGTTAACTCCATGCACATGTTTATGAATGTGAACGATGTCAACCCTTTTGCTGCCTTTCTGTTTTGTAGCAAACCGTTCAATCATTTCTTTAGGATACACTTGATCAGGCTCTACCATCAGACTGGAAAAATCCAGCTAGTAGTATAAAAATAAAACCAGCCAGATTCAAGGATACCTATTAAATCATGGTAAAGATTTCAACCAGGAACATTGTGATGTATACTGGCACAACAGCAGTGCAGTGTTTCGCAGGAGAAAGAGGATGAAGTTCGAATGGAGCCAAGCCAGGGAGCAGTGGCAAGGAGAGGACGGTGACGAAGAGGAGACGTCTAGAGTCAGAGGGGACACTTGCTGATTCACAGTGGACAGACGTGTCCTAGGGAGGGAGAGAGGTGGAAATGATCCTGGGCACGGGTGGAATCCAGGGTGAGGTCCTTGCCAATCTCAGTTCGCAGGGATGCGCCTGAAAAATGTTCAGACACCTGCTTCAAAGCTGTTCAAGTAGAGACTCTTGTTCAGCAGTGATCTGAAACGTGCTTGGTGAAGATACCTACCTGTCCTTGGTTTACTCGTGTTGTGTCCTGAGCTCTTGCAGGAACGTGGTCTGTCTTAATTTGCATGAGTGACTTCATCTGTGTGAGCTGCACAGTGAGCATCTCTGGTGTCCTTGTTTATGTTTAAATTGCTCTGAGTGGACTCACGGCTTCTGAGCACTTAGTACGCTTCTGATAATCACTAGTGCTTTACAGAGAATCTCAGAGTATCTAACAAGGATTACATTGCCTTTGGGAGGCCGGGGGCTCCTTGACAAGCCCCACAGAGAGAAGGGGGTGCATTGATGGGGCGTGAATCTATGAGAATCTCTCTGACATCACTACCTACACGGTTTTCCTATTACTCGATGCGTTCATAAATCAGAAATTAAGGGAGCTGATAAGCAAATAGCTAATTCAGAAAGGCATTTGCCCATTGGTTGGTTCTTAAAAAACAGATCTGAGGTTTCTTCTCTGTTTTAACCCAGCAAACTTCACTGTAAGCTGAAAATATTGTTAAGTGGAGGATGCATTGAAATGCAATTCACCTACAGAACGCAGTATCTCAGACCATGAGGAGGGGAGGGGAAGAGAGAGGAGGGAAGAAGAGGATAGGATGTGAGGAGTGCGAAATTTGAAGAATAGCTTTCATACCCTTCAGAAGCCGAGGTTGTTACCAGCTGAACTCCAGACAGATGCCACTGACCCCAGAGGGCACACTGAGCACAGACACCTGGAACATGTTGAGTTTTACTTTAGCTGCTTCCTTGGCGTCTCAGCTCTCACTATTAGAAATGCCTAATGGGGTTAAGCTGTTGGCTCTAGAAGCTGCTAGTAATTACCAGTAAGGACTGCCTGGTGATCGGTTACATTTGTTCCCATTTCGGCACGGCCAAGCCACTGCCCCACAGCCAGCTGATAGCACAGAAAGCTGGAACCTAGTGGTGGTACACATTTCCCGCAACTCCTCACACATACTTACAGCTTTCACCATCCAATCCTAGATTGAGCAAGCTGCAGAACCAAGGATGCCTGTCATATATTTTAACTGAATTGATGGGCAGGTGAAGGGGAAGGGTTGTAGGATGCTGTGTGGGCAAGCGGGGGACTGGGGTGATGCTTGGGTTGTGCGCACTAAAGCTATTGGGTGTTAAGAGCTTTGATGAGCGATTGGAAACACTGACGTTCAAGATTTCCAGTGGCATGTCTCAGCCACTAATTTTAAGTCAGCCAAAGAAAGACAAGGGAAAAAGCAAGAGGCGAAATGTGTCCTGACTTGGAATATGTTATTTTCAATTCATTGAATTCTCAACTTCTCAGATACGCCTTAATCAAAAAAAGCTTTGATAATGAGGCTTATAAATGCTTTTCAATTTCCTGCTAGATCATTGAGTTTCTTAAGGATTTTGGAAGAAGAGGAATAGTGACTTTTTTTTTTTTGCCTAGAGGCATCAAATTGCAGGTATTATCATCAATTACAACAAGGTGTGGAAATCCACACCCTGCCTGAGAGAATATAGTTTTCAAACCTGAATGAATGTTTGTAATCATCACTGCAGCATCACATTTAGCTAGGTATTGTAATTAGTTGTTTCAAAAAGAAAAGTGTTTTTCTGAAAAGCAGCAAGTTTGGAGCCAAGGGCCTTCAATCCATGCCGCCTTCTTCTTTTTGTTTTGTTTTTCTGGTATTGACTTAGAGGCTCAGAGCAAAACTGTCCGCACCCCAGGAAATAATCACCAGGCCCAAACGACCCAGTCAGGAAGGAAAAACAGTTGGTTACGGCATCTCCCTGCTTGTCTGCATCGTTTAATAAAAGGACGACAAATGTTTCCGATGCCTACTCAGCCCGCGCGGTCCCAAACCTGGGGCTTCGCTGAGTGCAGGCAGAGAAACGTGGGGCTAAGAAAGCAGCTGTGACCTCTTGGACCACTCCGGGGCAGGGAGATGCTTTCTCCAGGAGCATTAGGGAAAGGCGCCCTTCGCAGTTGCGCTCCCTGGGCAGGGCCGGCCACTGGGCGGCTACAGCTGGAGCCTCCGGCAGAGGTCCCGGGTGCCCAGAAGCTGGGATCTTTTGGAGAAGAGCAGACCCTGTGGCTGTCGCGTGGTGCAAGGGTCCCGACAGCCTACCTGCTTGCCGCGGCCCCAGGGGTGTCCCTGGAGGTACCCAATGGCACCAAGCAGGGGAGCAGCGCCGCGCTCAGCAAGGGAACACGGGGTACCCTTCCCGCCTCTCGCCTCCCCGCTGCACCTGCGCGCGGACCCTCACTTGGAGCGCCAGTGGCTCCAGCTTCCCGGAGCCAGGGAAGGGGCGAAGGGGGCGGGCGTGGTGGTGGTGGTGGTGGGGGAAGCAGCACGAGTCCCGGGATTGGGGTGGGGTGGGGGGGAGACCAGCGGGCGGCGAGAGCGAGCGGGCATGCGCAGTGGGGCGGAGGAGGTGGCGATGGCCAGAGGAGGCGGGGGTACTGCTGTTTATTTGCAGCTGGGCCAAGTCGGCGGCGCAGGAGGCGGCGGAGCGCGGGGCGCCCGCAGCGGGTCCAGCTGCCGCCGCACCGTGCCCGAGCGCCCCTTCGGGCAGCCGCCGCGCGCCGCCGGAGCCCCGGCAGGGGAGGATGCCAGCCGCCCGGGCGAGGCCAGGGCAGCGGCGGCGGTGGCGGTGCGATGGTGGTGACCGCGTCTGCCCGCGGCAGCGGCGGCGGTGGGGACCGCGCGCCCTCCCGGCGGTCAGGCTGCGGGCTCGCGCGGGCCGGGGCCGCGGCGCTGCTGGTCGGGGCGAGCTGCCTGTGCTACGGCCGCTCGCTGCAGGGCGAGTTCGTGCACGACGACGTGTGGGCGATCGTCAACAACCCCGACGTGCGGCCCGGAGCCCCGCTCCGAGGAGGTGTCTTCTCCAACGACTTCTGGGGCAAGGGCATGGCCGAGAACACCAGCCACAAGTCCTACCGGCCGCTGTGCGTCCTCACCTTTAAGTGAGTCCCCGGTAGCCCGCTGGCGCCGCTCCCCAGGCCCCGGGAAGTTGTGGGCGCGTCTGGGCTGCAGCCCTTTCCCTGCGCTCCTTCTCCCTCTCTGGGCTGCGCAGGCAGCTCAGCTCCCTCCAGGCTCCGCAGGCTCCTCCGCGCTTCTGGAGGCACGGGCTGGGGACTTCGGATTGAGTTGCTTTAAGGTCTGCGCTCCTGGCGGAATTCTCCCGTGCAACTGAGGGAGACGGCTCGGTCTGCGCATCCCAAACCCCCGGAACTGGGCCAAGAGAGCTAACTCGCGGGCCGTGCGCCTTCGGGAGGTGGTGGTGGCGGGGAGCGGCCGGAAGGTGGGAACGAGGCTTCCACATTGGGAATTCCTCGGAGGCTGCAGGGACGCTTTGGCGCCGAGAAGTTAGCCGCGCATTAATTAAAGCTTGCTTTCAGACGAGGGAAGCCTTGAGGAGCCTTGGGCTGTCTGGGCTGCCTGTGAGTTTTCGGGGAGGAGCAGGCGAGGGAACCGAAGGTGCCCCCCTTCTTCCCTAGTCCTCCATCAGCTCCGTGGTGCCGCGCGCGCTGCTTCCCTGATGTCCGCTCCACTGCTCGGCTACTGGGGACTGCAAGGTGCAGAGCAGAGGTGCGCTGGAGCGTGGGACACTCCGGGGTCCTGGATCATGAATCAAACAGTTTTGTATTGACAGTGTCCGAGTAGTGATTCAGCGTTTCTGCCGCAGGTTTCTGAAAAGGGAAAGTTCGCCCGAGGGCGTCCGGCTGGGTATTTTCCTGAATTTGGAAATAGGGTGGGGGTGGAGCTAGGAGGTAGGGTGGCCTCAGAAGTAGGCGGCTAAAGAGCCTGGTGTGAGAGAAGCAGGGCCCACACCAGGGACTCCACTCTTAAAATTTGGCTGAACACGGAGGCTGAAGTTAAAGCTCAGGGCGAAAGCGTGGAAACGTGGTGGGCTGGCTGCGACCAGCATTTTCACACCTTGCCAAGGGGTGTGCTAGGAGCCTGCGTGGATGGGGATCTGGTCCTCAGCGAAGCCTGCTCTTGCCCGCAGGCTAGGAGCAGGTTCCTGGGCAGGTGGCCCTGATGCCTTGTGGAGGGAAGCCATCAGAGTGGGAAAAGCTTGGAAGAGGGGTGGGGGAGGAGGGTAGGACTTAATTCTACCCTCCTGACAAGTTTGCAGTCTTATGGAGGCTGCGAATAGGGCACACTGGAGGCCACGGAGTGCATTTTGTAAACGTTGGACTCCTTGGGAAAGTTGCACTGGATTTCAACCAAGAGGTCAACCTGGTCTTGCAGAGTTGCGCGTAGTTTTTAAAGACATCTGAGGATACCTTAAGAGCTCCATGTGTGACGCAAAAATACACGTAGTGCTTGTGGACCGGCAGCTCTTCCGCTTGTCACTGTGGGGGTGGTTGACTCCTTGAAGGCACAGCGGGGATACGCTGGATGTGTGAACCCAGGAGCCGCCCCCCAATACCCCCCTCCCCTGCCAGGCTGCGCATTTTCCATTTCACAAATGTCAAAGTCACGTGCCTGTGCCTCCTTCCTGCTGGGCAGCAGTGTCCTAAAAAAAATTATCTGCTTTTGTTCCTAGTGGAGATGGCATGGACAGAGGTTAGGAGGAGGGCCCAGGAGGAGGAGGCAAGGCTGAGGAGGTGGAGGAGAAGAATTAGCTGTCTTCCAGAGGGCTGGAGGGGCACCTCGGCTGCCATGCTCTGTGCTGGCATCAGCAGCTTGGCCCTTGGTACCTCAGTGTGGATAGCAAATTTTTTTTTTCTTTTGCTAAAATGAACTTTAACTTAAAATTTTGCTTGAATAAGAGAGGGAGGGAGGAGGGAAGGAGGGAGAGAGAGAGAGAGAGTTGGTGAAAGCCCAGCTTCTTTATTCCTTCCAATTGTGTTGGATTTCAGTTGTATTCTGCATGATGCTTGTTGGAGCACAGCTCTGTGGGAATGAACACTCATTAAAGAAAGCCTGTTTTGAGGTAATTGTATGTTCCCATGCCGTTGAGTAATAAAGCAAACGAAGCAATGATATAAACATCATAGTAATTTACTCCCCTAAGATTGATTTGTTTGTTTCAAAGGCAGAGTGATGGTGGTAACAGGTGGGGAAAGGAGATCTTCCATCTGGCCATTCACTCTCTATCTGTAATGGCCAAAGATGGCCTGACATACACCAGGAGTCAGAAACTCCACCAGGTCTCCCACATAGATAGCAGGAGCCGAGGCACTTGGTCCATTTTCTGTTGCTTTCCCAGTGCATTTAGCAGGAAGCTGAACGGGAAGCAGAGCAACCAAGACTTGAAGCAAATACTTACCTGTGGAATGCTGGCACAGCAGGCTGCACTGCATCATGAGGCTGCTCCCCCTACCCCATGACATTTTGAATGGTTGTATTACCGTGGGTGTGACCTCTAGATTTTATTTAGACTTCCTTGTTATGAGTATTTCATGCAAGGCCATCTTGTCCTATGTGCAGATGTCTGAAGCTGCCACCGCAGTGAAGATCCAGGACAGTCTCCTGATGATGACCTGGCTGTCCCCATCACAGTAGGGGCAGGGAAGCCATCAAGCTGCCCATCTGTAACTTCTACAACAAGTCTCTGTTCTGCTAGTACAATTGAATCTGTGGATTCCTGTGCTGGGAACCTGCTGAGACTCACTGTTCTCACCCTGCGTGTTAGTTCAGGATGTTGTAGCCATTAGCAGGTCATTGCTTTTCATGGCTGGATACTAGTCCTTTGATGGATGCATCACAGTTTCCCAGCTCATCTGTTGAAGACATCTGTTTGCAATGCTTGAATTAAATTCTGAATAAAAATGGTAGAAGCATGTGTTGACAGGTTTTTGTGTGTGCTTAACTTTTGGTTTCTCTGGGGATAATGCGCAGGAGTGCAGTAGCTGTGTTCATGAATGGTGGTGGCACATTCATTTTTGTTGCGACTGCCCAGTCGTGCTGCATGTACTGCTGCCAGCCTTGCATGGGTGACCCTGCGTCCTTGCCTCCACCACTTGGTGGCACTTAGCATTGTTCCTGTCCTTTACTGTAGCCACCCTGACAGGTGCATTGTGAGATCTTTAGGAAAGTTTCAGTGCCCAACTGGCTGGGGATGTAAAACACTCTCTTATGTGCTTTTTTTTTTTGTCCTCTGTGGGGTTTTTGGTAAATAAATGTGCCTTTGTATATTCTGTCTGTTTTCAAAGTGAACTTTTTTTTTTGATGGTGGAGCTTGAAGTTCTTTACGTTCTAGGTACATGTCCCTTGTCAGATATGTGATCGGCAAATATTTTGTCCCAAGCTGTAGGTAATTATTTTGTCCTCATGCAATCTTTCCTGGTGCAAACCTCAAACCTATTTTTTTTTTTTTGTTAAAAGATTTACTGTCTCTGATTCAATGAATGTCTGTCTGTCATCCTGAGAGCTAGAAATTTCCCAAGGAGTACATGTTGATAAATGCATAGTGCTTTTTGCTGCAAAGGTGCTTGCATATGTGCTATAATAAATAAGCAAGATGCTTGCTTATGTAGTAAATACACTTGTCCCACTTGTCTCACATGAGAAATAAACTGAAGTTAGAATGAAGAAATACATTATAAGAGCGTTTGTTGCGGGGGTGGGGGGCGCTGGGGCAATGGAACATGAGGGCTGCTCAGGGAGGTGTTGTGGCTTTGGACTGCATCAGTTTAGTGAGATGAGGCCAAGCTGCTTAGAATTCTCTGAGTGGTAGCAAGCCTATGGGACAGTATGTAGGACTCTGGAATGGCCATATTCTGTGTTGGGGTGCCTGGCTTCAAGCCCCAGTTCTTTTCCTGATTCTGGGCACCGTGAGAGGCAGCAGGTGGATCTCTGCCACCCATGGGGAAGACTTGGATTGAATCTCCTAGCCCAGTCTCTGCTATTACAGGTATTTGTGGAATGAACCAACAGATGAGAGCTCATGCTATACTTTCTCTGCCTCTGCTTTATAAATAAATAGATGAATTAAAAATCAGGGGAAAAGTATTTTTCTTTCCGGGATGGTTGTGGATTAGAGCTGGTTATGAGAGAGATTTGAGATTTGCCAGGTTCCAGTTCAGTGGCTGTGATTGTGTTCTGAGGTGGGTGCAGGTTGCAGTGCTGAAGGGGCAGTGGGTGGATGGTTGGGCTACCAGCTGTGCCTGCACCTTGCTGTCCCTCCTTCAGCTCTCCGAAGTTAAGGTGTGGCTCTGTGGGGATGTGCCAGGTGTTTGCAAGCCACTTGCATCCCTGAAGTTGGAGCCTGAGGCCGTGAGAAGCAAATGGCATGTCCCAATTCATATGTGTATGCCACTTGAGCCTGGCTTTGCTGCCTTGAGCCCATCCACCCCATGCATCCAGAATGGCTGTCCTGCTGGGTTCCACCAGTGTGGATACAGGAGGCGCCTGGCAGTCACTTTGGCTGCCTGAACCCACCCCTTCTGCTGGATGTGTTTGGGCACATCTGTGTTCCTGCTTAGCCCTCTGTGTGTTCCTTGAAGTGAACTTAGGTGACTGGTAGGTTACTTTTTCTGATTGCATCTCATCTTCAGTCTTTCCATCAGATCACATCCAAGGGCGTGTGTGGATATTTTTAGAACAAAGTAGAGCAGAATCCAAACATCTGTGATAACTTAATCTGCCTCTTTTGCCTTTTTTTCATTTTTTGCTGTTTGATCCTTCACTGGCATGACCTGTTTGCAATTCAGAGATCAGGAGGAAGGTGTTAAGTCTCTGCATGGGCAATGGCATGACACAGAACCAAATCCCGTGATGCTTGAAGCTCACTCCTTGAAAACTGGCTTTCACTGATGCAAAAGGTGCTTCGCTTTCTTAAGTTGATCCCTCCCCTCCTTCCTCTTGGGACCCAGTTCCTTCTCAGTGTTAGAAGTACTCTCCTATTGGGAGAGCTATTTCATGTCTGTTGCAGCAGGAAGGAACCAGTAGTTTGTCGGTGTCCCAGCCAGGGAAGCTGAGGCCAAGGCAAGCACTGAAACCTTATTTCCTC